GGAGCATCAGGGCCGTTGAATCCATCATAAACTCCGACAAAAACCCAACCATTATCCTCCGATATCACCACGTGAACTCTATCCTCACCGGCCTTCCCCTGTGCCCACTGTACGCCCTGACCGCCGACAAAGTAATCGCCATCGTCTTCCTGCGCCAAACTGGCCTGGCTGCTCAAATGAACACTGCTTTGAGTCTGAGCTGCATTCTCATTATGTTTGTATGAACTCGCAGCCTTCTGGTTTCGAGAAATGGTTTTGGATATGGCTCTCTTGAGAATCCGAATGAGACTTCTTTTCGATTTCGGTTGTCTATCTCCAACGCCGCCGTTAGAGACGCTTCTCTGCAATTTCTCAGGTCCGCCGCCCTTCTCAATCGAGCCGGAGTAAACCACTCGATCTATCGGGCCCGATTCGATGCTCCGGGCGGCCAAGGGTCCGGATAAGAACCCTCTCTCCATTGGACCCGAAGAAGGGAATCCACCGAAATTTCCCGACATCGAGTGGCGTGGCACCGGCTGTAGCGGCACAGAGGCAAAGGAATTCGAGCAATCGAAAGCAGCGGCCCGATCAAACGTGGTGCTATAAGGATATAGATCGACCAGAGACGTGGACAGCGGCGTTGAGACGTTGGCGCTTACAGAGGCGCCGGAAATCGACCGGTAAATGGTCGCTGGAGAGATGTAGTCATCCGGGAAAGCTTTGAAGGAGGAGAGGGTTTGTGGGTCGGGTGGGAGATAGTAAAAGGAGTGGCCGAAACCGCCGTCGTGGCGGTCGGAGATTATGTCGGCAGGACCATAACGACTGGAAATATCGCCGGCGCCGGCGAAGCAGTGGCCAATCTTCCCAATATGATTACCCATATGAAAAAAGAAAACAAAAAAAAAATAGAGAATTTATCTTCTCTGCTGTTTGATTTGATTGATCTTGCATAATACTCTCTCTCTCAATGTGAGAGAGAGATCGTGCGCCTCAAACCGAAAGAAGTTTGATAGCTCAGAAATTGTTAATGAGAGAGAAAGAGGAGAGAGAGAGAGAGAAGAGTTGACTTTTAGAAGTGGAATTCATATTTGTTTGTTTGTTTGTTGCTTTTTAAAATTTTATTTTTTCTAAAAAATACTTGCTGCTTTTTTTATTATTATTTTATTCATTAGGTCGTTGACCTGCATTAAACTAAAAGCAAATGAATTGGAAATTTTAGGAATATTCAATTAAAGAGATAGTTCGATTATTTTTCCTATTTTATTTTATGATTATTATTATTATTTTGTAGGATCTTAGTAAAATCCAAAAGTCAATGTTTGAAATTTCATATCAAATAAATAACGAATAATCATTTAACTTAAAACCCAAATATAAATTAATTAGTTTCCAAACTTTTAATTCTTTTAATTTTCAACTACATGAACGTGCAATGAAGATAGTTTCTATTTAACCAATCAGCATATGCCACGTCATATTATTTTATTTCTTTATTCTTTTTGAATTTGAATTATTTTCATTAAGGTAATAGACATGGAAAGCTTGTTAATTTTTTCCATAAATAATTTATTTTTTTATTGAAAAGAAAATTGGTGGCAGCCTTTTATTCTTTGGTTTGAATTTAGTGGTAACCTATATGTAGCTAAATTACACGTGGAAAATTAAATTTCACTCTTTCTATTTATGTAATTTTAGGGAGAGGTTAGGAAATTGATGCATTTTCAATTCTCACCTAACATTCCATTTAAAGAAATTGACGCATTTCTTTGTTTCACATTTATTTTTATAAATGAAATTATTAATTCTAGAAAAATGTAAGCATTTGAAGCTTCAATTGTTTCCATATTGGCTTAAAATTAATTGAATCTAAACAAATATGAACGCATATATTTTTTTTGGTATGAATTATTTCAAAAATAATAATTAAATTATGAGTTTAATTGAATGAATGGTTTAAATTAAAAGTTTAATTTAAAATTTTCACAATATGAATTTGAAAGTTAAATTGAAAATTAGAAACTAAGAAATGAAATTTAAGGATTAAAACGATAATTAAATAATTATTTATTTTAGAATAAATCATAAATACATTAAAGAAACTATCTTTTTCCTTGGAATAAAATTGGAGACGATATATTTGGAGATAAACATTGAAAATATAAAGGAAAAAATATTGACACGTGTCACTATCCCAGGAATTCGTTCACTTTTCTCCTCAAAAGACTTTCTAAAATTAGAAAGTTTCAATGGCCCCAAAATAAAAAGATAATGAAGTTGATGGTTAATTAAATCCCCGTGGTCCATTCAATGTAAAGGCTTCGATTTTTCTGAAAAATCGAAATTATAATGAATAAATAAATAAATAAATAAAGTTGTATTTGAATTTCTTTTTCATATTTCATCCACCACCAAATTATCCGATATATACCTATATTTATTTTATTTAAATTTATAATTATTTTTTTTCTTATTTATTCTCCAACCACTCTTAAAAATAATATTTTTAATTTTTTGTAATATATTTTTTCATCCTATCGATTGAAACTGAGTTAATTAAGTGTTTGAAAATAAATAAATATGTATTTTACTTAACAACATTTTAGTTTTATTAAAACAAAAAACTAAATTAAATGATTCGAACAATACGAGCAATCCCAATAATCCCAACTCAAATATTTTATGTTTGAGTTAGATTCGTTGTTTAAAAAAGTTGCTTGATTTGAAAAGATTTACATGAAACCACGAGGTCTGGTCTAAAAAAAAAAATATCTAATCCCGACTCGACTAAACTCATAAATATTCTTAAACTAAACATGGCTAAAGGAGAATTTTGAATGATGAGTGAGCAAAAAGGTATGGGTCTTCCCTTGGATGTATCTGAGGATATGGATATGGGTCGTTGGACAGCTCAGCATCAAAGCCCAAACCACTTGGGCTCGCGGAACAGGCTTAGCCCAAACCAAAAAGGTATTGGGCTAACCCTCTTTTTCTTCATCGATATCTGTGAGATTACAAAATATTTTATATTTATTTGTGCTGAAATTAGTAAATATTTTTACCATAATTCAATATATTAACATATATATATATATATATATTTTTTTTTACGACCAGAGATTTAAATAACCTTCCCGTGTTGAACTAAAAAAATAACTAATAGTTCGTAGAAATATATAATTGAAAAAAAAAACAGATATTTACTTAGACTATAAAATATAAAATTAATGTCGTTTGAACCTCTAAAAAAAATTTATTGAATACAAATATTTATATTAAATACAAAATTAAATTATATATCCAATACATTTATTGAGTTTAAACAGTATCCGAAAAAAAATGACAAATTTAAAATTTTTTTTTTGTAATATTGAGACATTAAATTCATATTTAAAACTTAGAAATTTAATCAAATAATAAATAATATAATGTATTGAAGTGGTGGAAGTCAAAGTTGGGTATGGGCTGTATGGCCCACACTCCATAAGTGACCACTTTCATTCTCCACCCACCAAAATATCCAACCATTCCAATTTTTATTATTTTTATTATACTTTTTCAAACGAATAATCTATTTTTTCAATCCCAACAAAATAAAAAATAATATTTTAACTAAAAAATTATCAATTATTTCATTTTATAAAAAAAAAAAAAAAAAAACCATGTTAGTTAGTATTCATTTAAATTTATATTTTTAAAAATTTCTTATATCAAGGTTATAATTATTTTAAACCCAATTATTATTTTTTATTTTGTTTTTTTCCTTCACAAAAAGACCAATTTTTTTTATTTATTTATGTGGGAAGAAAAAAATAAAGAAAATTGGGGTTTTTTTGTGTGCCTTCCATAGTGGAAAACGGTGAAATTCTAAGGGCCCATTTTCCATTACTATGGAATGTTACACTTTAGCATACTTCATCTTCTTCTTATGCTTTAAAAAGTTTTATTTTATTATTATAAATAACCAATTAAATATATTTTTAAATTAATTATTTTTTAAAAAAAATACAAAGTCTCCATGCCTGATTTTCCGGCGTTTGTGACTTTTTATTTTATTTTCTATTTATTATAAAAATTAAATTTTATTTTTCACAAAATTTTAAGAGAATAAATAAATTAATTTTAATCCACGTTTCAATATGTCTTTTTCTGGTTATAGAGACATTGAGACATTTATTGGGAATCCAAAAATAAAAGAATCTTTTCTTTTTTATTTTTTTTATAATTAAAATTATGCTAAAATATTACTATTATATAGTTGATTTTAAAATTTCCCTTTAATATTTTAATTTTTTTTTTACTAAAGTACCCAACGCAATTTTCTTTTAAAAAAATATTTGTTTGAATTTTATCCATTTTTTAAATAAAAATAATTGACTAAATAATAACTATTTTGGCATTACTAGAATAAAAGGAGAAAAAAAACAAAAAAACTTGCCAAATAAAGATTTTTTTTTTATTGAAAATGATGAAAATTAAAAATAAAAACAGAAAAATGTTTTTAAAAAGTGATTTATTTAGCCGAGCTCTAAAATATAAAGACAAAAGGATACAATCGTCAGAGTTTTTAATGAAAGTGGACCAACCGCTTAAGGACGGTCCATTTCATTATGGCCAGAGCTTTTAAACCGGCCAACTCAATCGCCCTTAAAACGGTGTCGTTTTAGCAAGAAAAAATCAATTCAAACACTAAATTATCATAATTAAATTAATTTATACCATTTGTAATTGATTAATCATTATTTTCACTTAAAATTGATTTTTTCCACAAACTATTCACTCTCTTCAATTACAAGAAATAAAAATGAAAAAACAATTAAAAAAAAAAGAGAATAATCGATTTAGAAAAATAAAAGAGAAATACGAAACCATGTAATATAAAATAATATTATAAACGGAATTTAGAAAGAAAAAAAAAAGAAAAAGTAGAGATGCGCGTTTGGGAAGCGAATGAGATCGCAACACGTGGACGGTGGATAGCATCCAACACGCCACTATAAATAACGCTTGAAATTGAGAGACTGAAACCAGGAAGCTCCGAGTTTTTCAACCAAAAATCAAAAAAACAATTTGAGATTTAATTTTTCGTACGGAAAAAGAAAAACAAATGCCGAAGTGTGGATGTGACGCTGCCTGCAATTGCAGTCTCAACAACTGCTCGTCAGTGTCTTCTCTTTCCACCCTTCCTTCTTATTTTCTGTTTGTTTCTCGAGAAAATTTGGGAATTTTATTTTCCCGAGAAAATCAGAAACTGACTGTTTTTCATACTTTGTTTTTTTGTTACAGATGCAAACGTGATGTTGGTCCCATGAAAGAGTATGAATTTGCATTTATATTTATATATATATATATGTGTGTGTGTATATAATAAAAGTTTGCATATAATTAAAAAGGTGTGTTTTGTGAAAGCAGGAACTTTGAGGCAGGTGGGTGTGACTGCAAATGCTCGTGCGTGGACAATTGCAAGTGTGGGTGTGGGTCATGCAGCTGCTAAAGACATAATTTAAGGCTATGATTTGAAATATGTATGAATGGGTTGTGTGTGTTGTGTTTGTGTGTAAGGTGTTCGACGAAATGCCGCTTACAAATACCTGAGAAATAAATGGCACACTCATTCCTATTTTAATGCATCATCTGCCTTCTTCTTTTCTAATGTCCCCACTGCCTCATTTACATTGCTATTTAAACTTTAAACCACACCACATGTAACTAATACCATACGAGACCGGCGATGGTTCATTCAACCATTCCTAATAAAGTTTCAAAAAGATCTTTTAACGTAAAAAAATTTCAAAAATATTCTTTTAATTTTGAAAAGTTCATACCTAACGTTATATACTGTAAGCCGTTGTTATTTCTCTCTTGGTTGCTTATATAACGTCTCTTTCAAAAATCTCTCTTTGCCCTCGTTTTCTAAAACCTCTCTTAAAATCGAGACCGGAGGCTCGAGCATACGTCGCTTGGCCGTAAGCGCGACGCAATAACGGATTGGCTTACACAATAACGGATTGGCTTAGCTCACTTGTCGTTGGAAAGTGAGTGCCGCACAATCGCAAGTCCGCTGCCAAGTGTGATTGTGACAAATAGTAAAGTATAACTTTTTGAAACATGTCTAAACTTTTTAAAAAATAGCACATATCCACTCTGAGCCCAAAAGGCCTCCGACGAATAGAGATACTATTCATTGATTATAAACACATGATCATTCTCTATTTTCATCATCCAACAAATATAACATTAAAAAAGATAATTTATAAGGTATCGATATACTAATTTTTATCTATAATTAATAGTAAAACAAGTTTTTAATTTTTTTTTTTGTAAAGGTTAAGAGTGTTAATGTCATTTTTAAAATTTCACGTGTATTTTTTAAATATAATATTATTAATGATAAGGGTATTTTATAAATGAAAAAATTTCTTGAAGGGTATTTTTGAAATAAAGTACTCATTATTTTTCTCCAAAACTAATCGTGAGAATATTTATGAGTATTTTTGAAATTTAAAAATATTAGAGATATGTTTTAGCTAAACTTCGGGTATCTTAAAAAATTAGTTTAGCTTATATTTTTCTACCAAAATTATTATTTTTTTTTGGAGAAAATATTTGTTATTAGTTAAATTACAACTTTAGGTATGAATTTGCATCTTTTTTTATCACTAAACTCTCATTTTTGTTTGTTTACCAACTTTGTAAACCTTAATTTTGTGTCTAATACATATGTGACGTATTTACGACCTATTCAATATTTTATAATCATACCTAATACATCACTCGCTCGCTGTTTACAATTCGGAAACATGAAGGACAAATTCGTAAATTAACATAGTTATATCTAGATATGTTTATTAATTTCATCGTACGAGTTCCGAGTCAACAACGACAAAGATCTTTTTCCTCTCGACCGTTGAGCTTATAATAAATAGAACCCACGAACTAATATATGTTTTTTTTATTCCTAGCTACCATTGTTTAATTAATCTCCACCGTCAATTATTTACTTGATCATAAAAAGATAAGTTAGTGTAAAAATTTCCGTAAGGAGTAAAATTATAAATATCTTAGGTGGTTATTTACATGTCCAGCGGAAGGGAAATAATTCTGTATTACATACATAATAGCAACTTCTTGATTAAATCATATTAAAATTAGGGTTTTTTTTTATAAAAAAAATAAAAAAATAAAAATTTAATTTAAGAAGAAATAAACAAATTCCCATTATTTTCTGTGAAATGAACGAAGCAGGTAATTAAATGCAAATAAGCTACACGGTATCCATTACGCATTACAGGTAATTCATTCACTAACCTTCCAAATATGGGCAACAAATTATGGAATTCCAAATGTGAAATTACCATTTTGTATTTAGCCACAAAAATGGCAATTTAGTATAAACCGATATTCTTGTTTTTTTTTCTTTATTAATAATAATAATTAAAACCAACTTTAACCCTCCAATTGTGCTGAAATTACTCAGGTACACATGATCCATCACTCCAGAAATTTTATTTTTTATTTCTCTATTTTTTTCAAATCTTATATTATAATATTATTCATTTGTAACGTCTAACAATACCACCCCCAAATCCTCCTTCAAAACCACGCCAAACAACTCAATTTCTCCTCCGTGTCAGCAAGCAATTCCCCCATTCATCCAATCATACCTTGCCACGTGTCCTCTGCATGTGGGGTCTTGAGTTTATTATTATAGAGCCAGAGAAGTTGATACCATACCTCTCCCCCTCCTCCTCCTCCTCCTCCCTCCCTCCCTCCCTCTCTCCCTCTCTCCCCCCCCCTCTCTCTCTCTCTCTCTCTCTCTGTGTCTCTCCCCCTCTGTGCTTTTGGTTTCTGGGTTTGAAAATGGTGATCTGTGTGGAGGAAAACAGTGATAGCAACAGAGATCCAGCGAAGGGAAAAGGAGCCATGGTTCCAATGCATGCACCATGGTCAAACCCAAGTGGCTCACTGCCATTACAGACAAATCACAGCTTGTCTCTCACTCTTCTCAGTGACCCTCAAGGGCAAGGGGTATTATTATTATTATTTATTATCACTATTATATTACAAAAAATAATTCATCCTTTAAATCTTTGTCTCACTATTTTTTTTTTTTTTTTTTTTGTATAAACCCAAAAAAATTTTGTGTTTGGTTGTGTGAGTGAAAGTTTTTTTTAAAAAAAAACATGGTATCATAACAGGAACATGGATCTGAAGATCTAACGAAGAACATAAAACCCTAATAAGAACGAACGATCGAGCGATGAACACGGTTTGATGTTTGTTTGTTGGGTGTAATTTTGTTAACCCTAGATTTGTTTATTTTGTTGAAATTACAGGTTGTGTTGAAGATGTCTCAAACGCCTGAAACGAATTACATGACATTTCTTCCATCAGGCTCTCAACTCAAGCTCAGCTTACAAATTCCTCAACCCACTTCACTTCCTACAAGGACAACTTCGGTAATACCATTTCTTCCTTCATCTACAACTCATATCTTGTTCATCATCTCTCAATCGAGTTTAAGTTTTGGGATTATGAACAATTGTGTCATAATTAGTGTTGATTTCTACTTGCATGTTGCATTTGAGACGATCTAAGTCAAAATCCGTAAATAATTAGGTTTTTTCGTAACTATGAACATGTTTTGTTACTCGGTCGTGTAGATAAAAGGTAAGAAGAGGAAAAAAAAAACATTTACATGGAAAGAAAATTTTGTAGTAATCAATTTAGATACTCGATAAAATCTAATGTTTGTTGATCGTTAACCGTTAGTCGTTAATCGTTGATGTTTGTTTAAATCATGAACCGTTAATTGGTAATCATTAATTTGAACTTCCACGACTAAAATATGTACTCGTGTGCTACCGGTTTAATTATTAAAACGAATGTCTTTTTATGACTTGTACGAACATGACGTAAGGTCGTCTTTGATTCGTGGTTATAAAAGAATTACCAAAGATGAACGAACGTCTTGTTTTATTTTTTTTATAATGAGAAAATTAAAATAATTAATTCAAATTAGCCTAATTAATTAGTTATTAGGGAAGTTTATGAAACATTAAGATGTTAGCATGTTTTTATATATGGAATTTAAATGTTGTTGATTGTTTGTTGCATGTTTATTTGTTTAGGGCAGTTTAAGTGGGTGATTATTGATGATATGATTAAATGTCTCCAAATTACATTAGACATATAATATATTATAATCTGGGTTAACTGTATGTTGTATTCCATAATGTGTTTTTTTTTTTTTTAAATTCTCAATTTACTTTTATTATTTGAAAAGTTTTGATTATTAAAATTTTGTCGATAAATGTTAGAATTAGTTGATGATAAACTTACATGACTGATGCATTAGTGTCGTGAACTAAACTGAAAAAATAGGTTAAATTACAGGTTTAGTTCATAAGATTCATGATTGTGTCTAGTAAGTCTCTAAACTTTTAATTTCACGTAAAAAAATGTCTAATAGAATCTTAAATTTTTTATTTTGTGTCTATTTAGTCTCTAAACTTTTAATTTCATGACAGGTCTCTAAACTTTTAAACAGGATAATAGAATCTAAAACTTTTAATTGAGTGTTTATTTAGTGTCTAAAACTTTTAATTTTGTGTGAAATAGGTCTCTAAACTTTTAAAAGTGTCTAATAGAATCTAAAACTTTTAATTTTGTGTCTATTTAGTCTCTAAGCTTCTAATTTTATGTCAGGTCTCTAAACTTTTAAACAGGGTAATAGAATTTAAAACTTTTAATTGAGTGTCTATTTAGTATCTAAACTTTTAATTTCACGTGGAATAGGTTTCTAAACTTTTGTCTAATAGAATCTAAAACTTTTAATTTTGTGTCTATTTAGTCTCTAAACTTTTAATTTGGTCTGAAATAGGTCTCTAAACTTTTAAAAAAAGTCTAATAGAATCTAAAACTCCTAGTTTTGTGTTTATTTAGTCTCTAACCTTTTAATTTGGTCTGGTCTTTAAACTTTAAAAAATGTTTAATAGAATATAAAACTTGTCTATTTAGTCCCTGAACTTTTAATTTGGTGCGAGGCATGTCTCTAAACTTTAAAAAATGTCTAATAGAACCTGAAACTTTTAATTGAGTGTCTATTTAGTCTCTAAACTTTCAATTTCGTGTCAAGCAGGTCTCCAGACTTTAAAAAGTGTCTAATAAAATCTAAAACTTTTAATTTTCTATCTATTTAGTCTCTAAATTTTAAATTTTGTATATATCTGGTCTCTAATCTTTCAATTTTGTATCAAATAGGTCTCAAAACTTAAAAAAAAAAGTGTCTAATAGAATTTAAAACTTTAAATTTTGTATATAGTCTCTAAATTTTCAATTTCGTGTCTGACAGGTCTCTAAGTTTAAAAAAACTGTCCAATAGAATCCAAAACTTTTAATTTTGTGTCTATTTAGTCTTTAAACCTTCAATTCCCACTCAAATGGTTCTCCAAACTTTTAAAAAAAATGTCTAATAGAATCTAAAACTTTAAATTTTGTATCTAAAAAGTGCCTAAATTTTCAATTCTGTGTACAATATATCTCTAAAATTTTTAATTTGGTGTCTAATAAACTATTAATCCATTTAGCAAACTTATTAAAATCTTAAAATCTGATTAAACACAATTTAAGT